TCACATGTCGTCTCCCTTTAAAGGAAATGTAATCCATGAAAAATTCTCAGCACGGCAGCACCTGACAGCTTGGTAAGTAAGTGCTCAATGCATGCTGTTTTGCTACTATTTGGTTACCATCCTCAGCCCTAAAGATCTGTAGGGACCGGGATGGTTCTGACACAACTCGTGGCTCAGATCAGAAGCCTTCCAGAATCCAGGCAGAACCTGAAGATATGTATCTTCAAGGAACAGTGGCTAGCCCTAAACGGTTTGCCTCAGTGGATAGAGTGTTGGCCTGCAGACTGAAGGGTCCCAGGTTCGATTCTGGTCAAGGACATGTACCCAGTAGGAGGTGCATAGGAGGCAGCTGATGGATGTTTCTAACCCTCTATTCCTCTCCCTTCCTCTCTGTAAAAAAATCAATAAAATAAAAAACAAACAAACAAACAAACAAACAAAAAACAATGGCTGAACAAGTATGAACTGTAAACTTTGGATCAAAGTTTAAATCTCCACAGTGGTTGTTTAAGAATCCGGTACCTCACAGGAAGTGATAAATGCCCAAAAGGCTATGCAAGACAAAGTTTCAACAGCGACACCATGTGGCAGTAAGGAATAACTACAACGGACCATCAATCACGCTTGGTGGTTTTCTCAGGAAGCCCTCAACCAAACCCAGGTGTGGAGGACTGTGTCCTTGGGGAGGGGAAGCAGATCATTGGAACTTTGTCTGTCTCAGAGTAGGATTGCAGGGCAGGGCGGGAGGGTGGGGGTCTTAAGGATGTGTGTCTATGAATGTATGGCCCTCTTTCTTAAGAGTGACACATGCAGATGGAGGAGCCAGGGGTTAAATATGACAGAGAGCAGAAAAGAGTAAAACGATATGTAAGAAACTTGAAATTTCACATAATATAAATCATTTCTAATGTGATATTGGCAAAAAGTAGCAAGTTACTGGGGGAAATTGTTAATAGTTTCTCTACAAATATGTGGTGGATTGGAAAAGTGACCACAATTATTCATTTAAGTGAATATTTGCAGTCTTTTCTCAACTTTTGCCCTGACTGGTATGGCTCAGCTGGTTGAGTGTCATCCTGTGCAGTGAGAGGTCACTGGTTTGATTCCGAGATGGGGCACATGCCCAGGTTGTGGGCTCCATCCTTGATGTTTCTTTCTCTCATCCATGTTTCTATCTCTCTCCCCCTTTCTCTCTCTCTCTCTCTCTCTCTCTCTCTCTCTCTCTCTCTCAAAAAAAAAAAAAAAAAAAAAAAGTAGAGATGTTTTCCTTACTCTTTGTACCTAAGCTGGTCTCATGACTGGCTTTGGCTGATAGAATGAGGCAGAAGTGGTGTTATACTGCCTCTGCTCCCTTCCTTAGACCCTTGCAACCTCCACGTATGAGTAAGACCAGACTATCCTCCTGGAAGATGACAGACCACAAGGAGCAGGACCTGTCAGCTGATTCCTTTCAGCCAAGGCCAAAGACAATGAAAGAGGCTATGCAAGCTCAGCAAAGCCAAACCTCATCACACCTTTCAGCTAATTCTCCAGCTCACCTGCCAGGCCCACACAGACTCAGTGACTCATGCGTGAAATGAACGTTATTGTTTTAACAAACACCACCCCCTCCCAAAGTGACACATGCTCTCTTACAAGAGGAAAAGACTCAGAACAGAAAAGTCTCTTCTCTTCCAGATTTTCTACTCTTCCCAGAAAAAATAAGAACCTTTCTTTCCCTTTATCTGGATGTAGTGATTCATTTATTCACTCATTCATTCATTCATTCAATAGATGGTTTTTTTCCAGTGTAAAGGCTCTTTGTTAGGTTTGGTGGGGGCACAGGGCATAAAAAAAATAGAGGCCTGATTTACAGTCTGGTTTGGGCAGAAAGGAAAGAAGCCTGGCCAAATAAGCCGCTGAGTGCGTTCGAATTCAGCCGTGGGATCACTGTCCAGCTGTGTGACCTCTGGATAGTTACATAACCTTTCTGAGTTTTCCCTTCCTTATCTCACAAGCAGAGATAACACCTGGATCTCGGCATGAGAGGAGGGAGGAGGGTAAAAACATGTGCAAAGTGCTGTGCCCCTGGATCAGAATCCCTTCCCACCCCCTGCCTTTGCTCAGTCACATCTCATCACATCCGGCTCTCCTGCAGGAAGGGCCAGTTTCCCTGAATTTGGGAGGTGCCTCTGCTTTCAGCAGTAGCCCACACCGAGATCTGGCATCTTCCCAGCAGCCTGAGAGATGGACCTTACGGGCACTGAGAAAGGTTGGGCACCCAGAGACCATTCTGCCAATCAAACCCTATGTGAAGTGGTGATCTCTCCATGCCCCCAGAGCAGTGGTCGGCAAACTGCGGCTCGCGAGCCACACGCGGCTCTTTGGCCCCTTGAGTTTTTAGCAAAGGCCAGCTTAGGAGTACCCTAATTAAGTTAATAACAATGTACCTACCTATAGAGTTTCAGTTTAAAAAATGTGGCTCTCAAAAGAAATTTCAGTCGTTGTCCTGTTGATATTTGGCTCTGTTGGCTAATGAGTTTGCCGACCACTGCCCCAGAGCAAGTCAAATCAGGGTGACTCTTGTTTGGTTCTGAGCCTTGGCTGGGAGACTGAGCTGTAAGAAAGGCCTTAGACCTGACGTGGCGTCCGGAGGTTTTGCCCACGTGGGCAGCCAGGTGCTAAAGGGGGAAGCCAATGGTCGTAGAGGATGGGGTAGGGTCTAACCCACAAACAATCCTCAAACCCAGTCTTCTTGTTTCCCCTCGCAGAAACCCCTGACCTCAACCAAAGCATGCATGAGCTAGAAAGAACACACTGGAAGCTTGGGTCACCTCCCACCTTGCATTTCAGCCCAGAACTTGGCACCCAGCTCAGGCCATAGAGAAGGGGACCAGCTAGGTCAGTTACCACACTGCCCCTATGCCTCAATTTCTCCTTATCACCAGGGGGTTCTGTGAGAGGGGAATTGGGAAGCCAGATGCCTCAGGTGGCAGAAGTCCCTGAGTGGGGGCAGCAGGGATGTGAGCCTACGTCGTGGTGGCTGTGATGGCCTTAGGAAGGACACTCATGCATGCCCTAGCCAGTTTCCTTAGTGGTTAGAGCATCAGCCAGAGGACTGAAGGCTCCCGGGTTCGATTCCGTTGCAGAGTCAATCCCTGGCCCCAGTTGGGGCATGTGCAGGAGGCAAGCAATAGTTGTGTCCCTCTCACATCGATGTTTCTGTCTGTCTCTCCCCCTCCCTTCCACTCTCTCTAAAAACCAGTGGAAAAAATATCCTCAGACGAGAATTAACCAAAAAGAAAAGAAAAACTCACCCTATTGCAATATTTTGGGCAGGACTAGCTTGGTCCATGTTGAGACCCTATACTGGTAGGACAGGAATGAGAAATGGCTGTGGACTGACAGCTGAGTCCCTAATGTCATTGTGGGGAGTACATATACCTCTTGGGCTGCTTTTGGTTGTGAACCTGACTGTCTGAGTGTGTGACAGCTGGGGAGAGAAGCAAGGGGCAGGGGCCAAGGATGACGGGACCTGCAATGGGAAAGGCTAAACCCAAAATAGCAGTCAGAACGTTGGGTGGACAACACTGTACCAAGGAGAGGGGAAATGTGGGGAGGGGAAAGGAAGAAACATAGACAGGGGACAGACAAAGCGATGGGATTAGGAGGGAGAGGGAAGGAGGGAGATAGAAGGGCTGAGAACCAGAGCACCAGTGGATCAGTGAGGATACGCTAGAACAAGAAAAATACACTAAAACATTTTTTGGAGGTGAAAAGAATGCTGTGTGAAAATCTGCCTTCCCATTGGTCTCCCTCATCGAGCTGTAGGTGTTGAAGGCAGGCACCGGCTTAAGTCATCCTTATGCCCTCTGTGCTTAGCACAGAGCACACATAAGGGCACTGTATCTGTTGAACAAATAAAGAAAATATTAAGAAAGGCCTTAGTCAGTTTGGCTCAGTGGACAGAGCACCGACTTGCGGACCAAAGGGTCCCAGGGTTGATTCTGATCAACGGTGGGTACCTCCATTGCAGGCTCCTCCCTGACCCTGGTTGGGGGTCCTTCAGGAGGCAACCAATCCGTAAGCTTCTCTCACATCGATCTTTCTCTCCGTCCTTCCCCCACTTTTCCACTCTCTCTAAAAATCAATAGAAAAATATCCTCAGGTGAGAGTTAAATAAAAAAAAAAAGCAAAGGCAGGATTTTAAGCTAGAAGGGCAGAGACAGAGATAGTGGCTCTGAGCCTAGACTTGAGTCACAGAGACATGCTTTGGAACCTCAGGTCAGCCTTTCCTAACGGCACAACTTTGAGCAAGACTGAGCCCCTCCAAGTTGAGAGCTTACATATCAAGCTGTGGAGGATGAACATCTGTAAAGCTCTCAGCAGACCACCTGTGTAAGCTCCTAACACTGTTTATTACTGTTATTACCGTCATCAAGGCAAATATGCGAAATGGAGACGGGTATAAATGAATTGCACGAATAGCCTCCAGTTAATGACTTTGCCCTCTAACTCTAGTGCCCATCCACTCGAACTTCAGGTCTGGCTATGTGACTCGCTTGCTTTGGCTGATGGCACAGTGGTAAACGTGAGGCTAGCAGAGACGCAGAGGTGTGAAAAAGACAGCCTGTTTCTGACTTCTTTCTTGCCAACTATTACAGCTGTGCCATAGAGCCCATCGGACTTGGGAAGATCAACCCAGTCCCAGCCGGATCAGTAACACCACTCAGCCAACCCGAGGCTTGGGTTGAAATAATAAGTAGTTATTGTTTGAGGCCAGTCTTTGGGAATGACTTGTTACCAGGCAGTAGCTAGCTGACACAAGGGCACAGTTACCCTTGAAAGGCAAGTGAGAGAGGAAGTCAGGATCTGCCAGGTTTTATTTGTAGAGTCTAGTGACCTTGAACCAGAGAAAGCTGCAAAACGTGGTTTTCAGGCGGGCAGCAGCAGGGAGAGCTGCAACTGGGCAAGCAGAGGCTTGAGGGGTAGGGATTGCCCTAGCTTGGCCCCTGCAGGTCTCAGGCTGTGGGGTCATACACTCGCCCCATGAAGATAGGGAGCTTGTGCTGCTGGTCCCAGAGCAGGAAGAGGAAGGGCTGCTGCACCTCAAAGATCATCAGAGCCCGGGCCAACGAGATTGAGGAGGCCGCAACCGCCTCTACCCCGCTCTCCGTCAGCTCCAGCGCCGCCTGGTGTTTCATCGCAGAAACCTGGAGATTCTTGTCCTCTGTCAGCCCGCACAGGTTGAGATCATAAGCAAAGTCAAAGAATTCTAGGGCATAACCAGAGGAAAATAATGAGTCAGAGACCAGCATGAAACCCTCAGCTGTCAGAGACATTTGTTCGGAATTTTCTGGGTTGGTCCCAAATCCCAATACTCTCTTCTTCCTCCTCCTTGTAGCTTATCAAAATGTATAGCATACCTTCTGGTCCAGTTTCTGGGGTCCTCTGCCTGAAGGCCCATCCTCACACCAACTACCACTTTCTCTCAAGTGGTGAGAGGCCTTGCCCTTTCCCTCACAAACCCCCCAAAATGATATCATTGCTTCTCTGTCAACAAGGACCTTGGAAGTGAGGAACTATATAGAAAGAGGTTATATGTTATCAAAAGAGGTCATATACAAGGAAACAAGATTATCTATTAGGAGGTCAAGTTCTTTAACAGAATATGAAGTGATATAGCTGGGAGTGAGGTCAAAGGTTAGGAAGTGAGGTCAAAGGTTAGGAAATGGAGCCTCTGTTGCCTCTTCCAAAACTCAGAAGCCTCCAGTTACCCTCTTATCCTGAGTGCTTCTTGCACAATCTGTGGGATGGCTGAGTGTTACGACACGTCTGTGAGGGAAGAGCATCCCTGGTCCACCTACGTCACCGGTCACAGTGTCACAATGGACCACAGTGGAAACAGTCAAGGGAGCTGAAGACCTGGACTGGTGTTCTGGCTCACTTCTACCTAGCTCAAGGGATCTTGGCTAAGTTATGTACATTTTTTGAGTCATTTCCTCATGATGTAATGAGATGATAGCAAATCCCTCTAACATTCAGGATTGAGGAACAACCTGAGATTATATAGATGTACAAAGTATCCTAGAGAGTGCTAAGTGCCTTTTAGGGGCTCCCTCCGTCCTGCCACGCTTTTCTCCTCTGATGATCTGGGAGCAACTCTGAGCTGCCAGGGCTCACCCATTGTCTCCATGATTAGCAACATGTCCTGGTTGCTCTTGAGTTTGAATCGGGGCAGCATCAGGAAGGTGGGTTGGGCGTTGGTCATCTCCAGCTTCTTCATGACGGCCTTTAAGACAGGGAAGCTGAGAGCCTGCTCCATGTCTCGGAGACTGTATTTCAAGTTCTGGGGTACCATGATCACCATGCTCAAGTTGTGGGAGAGCTGTAGTTTCCCCACCTGGAGAGAAAAAAGATGCACCTTATCAGTCTTCCTGCCCTCTGGGTTCCAAGGCTGGTCTTCAGTCTGCTGTTCCAATCTGTACCATTTCAGCAAACAGCAGCCAGACTTGAGCTTCCAGGTTTTGCCATGAAATGGGGATGCCAACTAAGTGAACAGTGCTGGTGAGAGGCACACATTTCTGATCACCCAGGCTGAAGATGACTCTACCACGGATGAGCAATGTAATGAGAGGCAAGTGATTTGATCTCTCTGAACCCTGTTCCCTTCCTCTCAAGTGTGTATAGGGTAACACCAGAGTTACCAGATCAGTTCTTTGAAAGACTTGATGGTTCTGCAGTATCTATGAGAGTAAGTATAAATCTCTTTGTGTGACATTCAAGGTTTTGTACAAGCGGGTCTTAGCTGACCTTTCCAGTTTGCCAGTGGAGGGACTTTCACTGATGGCCAGACAAATTATAAGAAAAGTGCAGGACTCTGTGGGTCTAATATAGTGGTTCTCAATTCAGTGTGAATTTGCCCCGAGTGGACATTTGGCAATATCTGGAGACATTTTGATTGTCATTGCTAGAGGAGGGGTAGAAGCAGGGGATGGTGCTAAATGCTACAGTGCCAGGATAGCACCGCATAATGAAGGATTATCCAACCCAAAAGGTCAATAGGGCCAAGGGTGGCACCTTAGATGAATAGGATGTAAGAGAATATAATTAAAAGGGCATGTGGTTGAGGTTGAAAGATGGATGAGAAGAATCGAGACTGCGGAATTCAGTTGAGCAATGAAGAAATGAACAGAAACCAGTCAATTGTTGGAATGTGAAAACATGGCCCAGAAGAAGCAGGATATAAATTGCTATTGACTAAGGAGCATGGACATGGGGTCTCTGTTGATGGAGGCTTCAACTAGGGTGGGATCACTGGGGCAGTATGCACCTGTGGATGGATCTTGAGTCTCTGACTAAAAAGTCCCATGTTATGGCCTTGAATTTCCAAGCCAGTAACCTGAACATTCCTGAGCTGGTAACTGTAATCCCTTAGTTGGATGAATACTCTTTAAGTCCCAGGAAGATTCAGAATTAAGTATGGAAAGGACAAAGTAAACCAACTTTATAATATTCACACCAGATGGTAAGTTCAGGATAATCTTAAGAAAATCAGACACACTAATTTTATACTTCTAAGCAAAAAAGTATAGGGCCCAGCTGACATGGCTCAGCGGTTGAGCAGGAAGTCATGGTTCAATTCCTGGTCAGGGCATATGTCCGGGTTTTGGGCCCCATGCAGGAGGCAGCTGATCCATGGTTCTCTCTCATCATTGATGTTTCTCTCTCTCTTCCTCTCCCTTCCTCTATGAAATAAATAAAAATATATGTATTTTTAAAAAAGATAAAGGATCATTTCGTTAAGTTTGAGAACAATGTTGAGATGTTAGAATTGATTTACTCTTTAAATTTAGTTTTCAGGTCACAGGTGTTTGGAAGATGTGGCCAAACAGGGCTGTAATTCTGCCCTGTCGGGTATATGGTATACTTAAAAAAAAAAAAAAGTATATTTATTTATAAAGTATACCCATAAGCTCAAAGTGCTTATGGGAATATTAATTAACTGTATTTGTAACCATGTTTGTAAATGGAACAAATGGCTTATAGAAGTTTAATCTGTTAGCAGTGACTGGATTAAGGAAAAATCTTTGAGCTGACACCTAAATGAGCAGAAGGCACAGTAATGTGAAAATCTGAGTGAAGAGGTTCGAGGTAGAGGGAAAGCTAAGGCCAGTTCCCAAGGTGGGTGGAAACAAGCCCGGCGGGTTCCAGGACACATCCTTTACTTCTCGCCTGGAACTGAATCGCTGGGTGTCTCCCCCTGTTTTCTATCTAATAGGTCCGTGTCTTGATGTCCTAACAAGGCAGAAACATCTGATCCCTGGGCTTGAGGCATTTTATTAATTAGAATCCTCTGGGCTTCGTATTTCCTGTCTCCCACTCCCCGTCCACCGAAATGATACTGTTCAATTCCTGCTAAGGAACTTAAGCCACTAAACACATGTGCACACAATACCACATGTATATATACATACAGCTATACCTACACATGTGCACACATATATGCATGCTGCACCTGCATGCATACATCCGATGCACAGGACAGAACCACGACTCACGTTTTTGCCATTTGATGGAGTAGAGACGAACGAAGAAACTTTAGAATCCTGCTTTCCAGCCTAAAATATACCATGCCTGCCTCGGCCAAGACGGGAGTAGGAAGAAAGAGAAAAGGCAAGGTGGAAATACAGAGGGAAGAAGTAGAAATTAATAAGGATGCACCCCAAACAAATGGCGCCTTAGCAGGAAAGAAATCAGGACACATAAGAGGCACTGAAACAGGAGTAAGAAGAGGCAAGGACTCACCTTGGCCTTCAACATAGGGTCAGTGAATTGGACAACCGGGTACTTCTTGCTGGTCATCATGGGCACTTTTTTCTTTGAGGATTTCAAGTAAAAGGGCTCCCTCCTGGTGTCTTTGTGATCAAATGTTGTCTTCCACTTGGCTAGAGGGAAGAGAGAGGGGGACAGTTACTCTCATACTGGTGGGGAAAGGATATAGAACTGAAATCCCGATAAGCAAAGGGTAAGACAGGTACAATGGGATCCAGGCTTGGAATATGGGGTCTGGTGGGCTTTGAGGCCAGGGGGGGAGGAAGGATTCAGGATGGGAAGATGACCTGGCCCAAGGTCCCCTTACCGCTTAGATAGATAGCATTGAGGAGGACAAGGCGGGTGTCGGAGGGCAGGCTGTCTAGCAGAGAGTTGATCTTGTGGTTGGTGTTCTCCGCCACCCAGGTGTTGATGAGCTCCAAGTTGGCATCACTGTCATTTCCCAGGGTTCTGGGGGTGCCATACAGGTGCTGAGAAGCGTTCATAAAGGCGTCCCGTATGGCCAGGTCTGGTGGGGGGGATGCAGGTCAAGAGAAGGAGGCATGAGTCCCAGAACACTCTCCCTGCTTCCGAGAGCAGGTTTTGAGAGGGGGTGTGTTTCCCGTCGATCTCTGTGCTCACTCCAGTGAACACAGTATGTTGGAGCAGGGGTCCAGGCCACACCTCGTACAGATGTGACAATGAGGTCCAAAGAAAGCAACCCCGAACTTGGAGCAGAACTTATCCCAGGCCCCACCTGCCTCTGCTTGTCACTGACCATGGCTGGCAAGGTACTTGGGAACTTCCATTTGCCTGTATTTTCCCCCTCCCCTCCTCTCCCCTCCACTCCCCTCCCCTCCCCTCCCCTCCCCTCCCCTCCCCTCCCCTCCCCTCCCCTCCCCTTCCCTTCCCTTTTTCTTTCTTTCTTTCTTTCTTTCTTTCTTTCTTTCTTTCTTTAAAAAATATATCTTATTGATTTTTCACAGAGAGGAAGAAAGAGGGATAGAGAGTCAGAAACATCGATCGAAGAGAATCATCAATCAGCTGCCTCCTGCACACCCCCTACTGGTACATTCCCTTGACCGGAATCCTACCTGGGACCTTTCAGTCCACAGGCCGATGCTCTATTCACTGAGCCAAACTGGTTTCGGCCCTCCCTTCTTTTCTTAATTCAAGAGGTAATAGAGTCTGCTTCCCAGCCTCAGCAAAAGTTTGTAATTAGACTTCCTGGCTTGGGCGCTCCCAAGCCCAGATCCACTAAAGAAAAACAGTGTCTAAAAGGGGAAATTTTCCTGGACTAAATAACTGACATTGAAGGCAGTTGTATTTACCACAAACCCAGCAAAACAGAGGATCAAATTGATTTATAGTAAATAAGTAAATACAATGTTACTTTAATGTCATGTTTCCCCATCTCTAAAAAAGAGGGTTGTTTCCCAGCCCCCACTTTGTTTTTCTGCATTTTCTCAATTTTTACAATGAATAAGTATTGTTTTCATCAGTTAAAAAAAAAAAAGCCAGAGTGTCACCCTGGCCCATGTGGCTCAGTTGGTTGGGTGTCATCCCCGTGCACAGAAAGGTTGCTGGTTCGATTCCCAGTCAGGGCACTGGGAATGCCCAGGTTGTGGGCTCAATCCCTGGTAGGGGACATGCAGGAGGCAGCCAATTGTTATTTCTCACATTAGTGTTTTTTCTCTCTCTCCCTCTAACCCTCTTCTCTCTGTAAAAAAAAAAAAAAAAAAAAAAAAAAAAAAAGGAAAGAGAGGGTCAGACTACATCTATAATTTTCAAACCTTCTCAAGCAGCAGAGCTGTGTTTTCAAATAATGTCATGTCTGAAGCCCACAATATAAAAGGGCTGTGGTTGAGACTGGGCAGGAGCTTAGAGCTCCAGTTGGCTCTACGTCCTTCTCACAGGAAGTGGCACCCCCACTCTGCCTCCCTGGTCCCCACTCCCACTGTGACTTCTGAAGGAGTTCTGCAGAACCCTAGGGCTCTGTGGACCAAACCTTGGGAGGGGGGGAGGGGAAGCATTTGATCATGCTGGAAGTTTATTGCTCTTATTACCTACTTATTCATCTAACACATGTAAACGACAACAAATTCATATAATATAAATAAAGTGCAGACTAGAGGGCCCAGGATTCCCCTAACCCAGATTAGCAAATATTCTCTGCCTATTTTATGTCAATAGCTCTCTAGTCCTATCTATTCATGAACTAGTATTCTAAATGGAGTTGATGAGTGCAAATGACTTACCCAAGATCTCTCCATGGGGACTATCTGTCTGCTGAAACCCTTATCTGCTCTGCAGGCCATCCTGGATGTTCTAGCTCTCACATTCCCATTGTCCTTTACCCCAGTGCTGGGTCCCCCTCAGCATCCCCTCAGGACCCTGCCCAGCAGCTGTCCCCCTCCACCCCCCATCCTGTCGGGCACTCACCTGGGCTGTGGAAGATCTGAGAGACCGAGGTGAAGCCTTTGGATGAGAAGGCCTTCAGGGCCTGGTGGACACAGGAAAAGTTCTCAGGGTAGGAGAGGACGGTCTCCAGGTTTTTCTTGGTGGTGTTTCCGGCTCCTACAACAAAAGGCAAAGATGAGGGCCAACTGCAGGAGGTGTGGGGGAGCTACTAGCAGGACCACTTTAGAGGGACCAGCTGGAATGGGGGGGGGTTAATGACTGCTAGAAGGGGATCACCTATCATCAGAGCCGGAAGCATTGCTTCAGGAGATAGTTCATATAACAGAGAGGGGCGGGGGGATTATGAATAATCATGGTTAGGCTTTTCCCGGGCTGCAAATACTCTCCTCCCCTATTTTCTACCTAATTTTTATCCCACTCATCATTCAAAGCCTGGTGGTGCCTGTACTACATGTACTACCCTGTTTCCCTGAAAATAAGACAGTGTCTTATATTAATTTTTTCTCCCAAAGTTGCGCTAGGTCTTATTTTCAGGGGATGTCTTATCTTTCCATGCACTAGGTCTTATTTTCAGAGAATGTCTTATTTTCGGGGAAACACGGGTAGTATTTAGTTGGTTTAGGTTTACAAGGGTTCACCATATAGGCAGGGATACTAGATGACTATGAGGAGACATCAGCCCTGGATTAGAGCATCATCCAGGAATGCCAATGTTGTGGGTTTGACCCCAGGTTGGGTGTGCATGGGAGGAAACCAATCAATGCTTCTCTCTCTCTCTCTCTCTCTCTCTCTCTCTCTCTCTCTCTCTCCCTCCCTCCCTCCCTCCCTCCCTCCCTCCCTCCCTCCCTCCCTCTCTAAAATCAACTAAACAAAGGAAAAAGAAATTAACCAAAACCAATCAACTGAAATGTGCCTTCCAAGGGGCATTTGGCAGTGTCTGAAGATACTCTGGTGTCTTAACTGGAGGGAAGCTACTGGCATCTAGTGCGTAGAGGTTAGGGGTGTTAGGATTCTGGGATTCCAGAGGAAAGGTTCTTATATATGCTCACTCTGTCTCTCGAAACCTTCCTGGAATTTCCCCCTTGGAGTGACAGTTCTGTCCTCACTGCTTATAGAAATTTGTTTGTGTCCCTCCTAAGGTAATTAACCTGTGGCACTTGACAGTAATCCTTCAGGTAGGCAGGGAGATTAGCAATTTTTGATCTCTCATCAAGCCAAGTGCTGGGCTATCTACTTAATTTTAGGAGGTAAATACAACTATCTCCATTTTACACATGAGGACTCAGGCTCAGAGATGTTCAGTAATCTGCCCAAGGTCACACAGTTAGGAGTCCCAGAATCCTAACACCCCAAACCTCTCCCCACTAGATGCCAGGAGCATCCCCCCATTATCACGATTCTACTCTACTTCTATCTCTTACGGTTTCATCTCAATTATTGTCTGAACTTGAACCATAGGTAATGGCTGGGACCTTGTTTTATATGTTCTTGTATCGTCCCTAGGGTTTTTATAAGCAATAGTGCCTATTAAATCATTGTTACATGAAAGTTCAAGAATAAAAACATTTACACACACTCCATTGCAACCCATTTTTATAGCTTCCTCACTGAGGCATAGCTTCGTAGGTGTCTGCGTTGGGGGACCCTCATGGGAGAGTTCGACATATAGCCCAGAGAGAACTCAGTCAGGTTCTTACCAAGCAGGATCTGAGTGAGCAGGCTGGCAACGCTGAAAGGTGAGAAGATCATATTGGTCTCCTCCCTCTTCACTAATGAGAAGGCGTGGTAGAGTTTCACGGAGAAATCCAGCAAAGCCTCCCCCAGTATGGTCTCCGCCAAAGAATTCTCCAAGTCAGGGCAGTGGATCTCGGGCTCAGGGCAGGGGGGCTCAGTAGTGGGCCCAGTAGTTGGGTCAGCAGGTTGAGTGGTTGACTGGAACCAGGGCTGGGAGGTGGAGGGCAAAGTGCCATTGGCCCTTAGGATAGTTGAGTTGGCTGTTGGCATGGTGGTGGAAAAGCCCAGGGTGGGCTGAGTGGATTGAATCTCAGGGATCTCTTTCTCGGAGATGTTTTCGTTGATTTCCCATGTCTGGTTCGTGGAAGAGCCCACTCTGGGCTGAGTGGACTGGATCTCGGGGATGTCTTCCTCGGAGATGTCCTCTTTGATTTCCCATATCTGGTTCATTGAATCCGTGAGGCTGAAGCTGGTATCATTATGATTTGAGAAGGCTTTCTCCTGTGGTTCAAGAAACGGTCTCATTTTTCTATGAGGCAAAGTTCCCTCAAACACGGAAAGTGGGAAGAGAGGGTGGGGATGTAGACCATATTCTGTACCAGGATAATTTCTGAAAGGCCTGGTGGGGGAGGGGCCTGCCCTGGAGCCGTGGCTATGGATTCCTCCAGGATAGGGGGCAAGGCAGCGGTGGGTGGGGTGTGGGTAGGAGGGATTTCTCTGAGAAGATGCAGAGCAGCCAGGGACTCTGTCACCGCTGACCACGTACTACCATATAGGAACCTGTTTCCCAAACTTTGGAGCTGAGTGTCAGCAGCCACTTCTCTGTGTTCTTGAAATAAATAAATATATCTGCCTGTCTTGGCTCACCTACCTGCCCAGGATAGACATTTGAGCTTGTGGCCTTTGCAATAGAACAATGGTTTTTTAAATTGTGGATTGCAACCCATTAGTGGGTATTGAAAACAATCGGCATTCCAAAAGGAAGGAAGAAAGGAAGGAAGGAAGGAAGGAAAGAAGGAAAAAAGGAAAAGGGAGTAAGTGGGGGAGAAATAGTATATTCCAGTGGCTCTCAATCAGAGACCATTTTGACCCCCGAGGAGCTGGGGCAATGTCTGGAGACACCTTTGGTTGTCATATGGGAGGGAAGAGGTTGGGGGGAGGGGAGAGATGCTACTGGCATCTAGTGAATGAGGCCAGGCTTACAGCAGAACATCCTAGAGTGCACAGGACAGCCCTTCATGCCCAGAAATTATCCAGCCCCAAATGCTGTTTGCTCTGGGTTGAGAAGCCATGTACTTATGATCCCCATTTCACTGCCGAAAGAAAATGATGCTAAGACATACTAAGTAACCGGTCCAGGGTCTTGCAGAAGCTGGAGGAAAAACCAGGAATCTGATTCCGGGCTCCTGCGTGTTACTATGTCACCTGTTGAATCTCAAAGGACACTGCGGGTGTCTCCTCCCGCACCCGGGAACACAGGCCAGGGCAAGCACCCACCTTGCTTTCCCCTGACCTCCCAGACCACGGCGGCCTCTCACGGAATCACACCATCCAGGTGTGTCTGCTGCAACCTGGCTTTCACAGGCCCAGGCTCGGGAGAACCTGTGTCTCCGTGCAAACCCACAGCTCCGTGTTCACAACAACCTTTGCTTTTACATCGCAAAATGCTGTCCATTTACTTGCCCTGCTTGGTCCTCCTTTATTCTCCACCATATAAACCGGAGCAGGAGGGCTCCAGGAAGCGACTTGCTCAAGGCCACCAGGCTGGAGCCTAGCGGGTCAGGTTTCGAACCTGTGTCCCTCCAGAGTCTCCAGCTCTTTCCAGCCTCTCTATGAATGGAGCTGCACGGATCACCTTGTATGATCCCAGGAGGAGCTCTCCTCCTTCTCCGGGGCCTGAAGGGTTAATCCCAGGCACCCCTCCATTCCCATCCCACGAAGGGCCACTCACCCCAGCCAGCAGCCGCAGCAGCAGGAGGGTCACAGGGGTCAACCAGGAAGCCATCTGGGAGGCGATGTCCGCCTGGACCTGCGGGGCCAAGCCAGCGTCAGGGCCGGCTTCCAGGCGTGGGGCCCACCCCCGGGCCCGCCCCCATTCCATTCCGGGGCCCTTCCCCGCCACCTTCTTCTTCTAGGCTCCTCCCTCTGTTTTGTTTTTCCCAAAACCGCTTCCCTTTCCCGGCAGCGGCTGGCTCAGCCTCCCCTTCCCTCCCCCCAGCCTCTCCCCAGGCCCGGGTCTCTGTCCATCTGTTCCATCCTGGGGGTCCTGCTTCAGACAAACAATGGGGCCAGAGGCTGGGGGAGGAGAGGAGGTCCCGAGGGGGCTGCCCAGGAGGGGAAGAGAAAGGGGAGGCAGAAGTCACTAGGGGGACCAGGTCTGTAGAGACTGCAGAGATAAAAGGGGGGCCAGAAATTGGGGGAGGGAAAAAGGGAGATGAAAAGACCCTTTCCCACCCCCATCCCACCCCTCCCAAGAACCAAACCTGCTCCCCAACTCCTGGTCACCCGGCAGCTTTAGTGCAGACTGAGTGGAGAGTCCCACGGGGTCAGGGAGGGTGGGGTGTGTATGTGTGTGTGTGGGGGGGTCGGCCTTGCTATTGGCTGGCCCAGGACACAGCCCAGTTACAAATTAAGGAGGATTGATTGCTGGTGTGATTTCCTGTAAATCACACTGGGAGAGGTCCCTGGGTGGGCTTTGGGGTCTGGAGCAGGGGTTTAGCCAGAAGCCCTTTGGGAGCTGGAAGTGGGGGAGTTTGGGGGTGCAGCTCTGAGCTTTACAGGAGGAAGCTTGTCCTCTCCACCTTCGTGGGTCACGGTAACAGCAGCCCAGACACTAATTGCTCCACAGTGTCCAGGGTAAGCAGAGTTGCTTATGTCAGCTAATCTTCCAAGTACCGTAACCCTTTGGAAATAGGCCCCTTTGTGACGGTTTGATAGTTAAGTTATTGAGTTTATCTGCTAAGCCAGGCAACCAGGCACGCCTCCTCTGAAGAACAAGGCCCTCTCTGGTGACCTGATACCCCTCGCATGGTCTACGGCTGTCTCACTGCCTGGCCTGTCAGGAAAGTTGGCTGTTAGCACCACCAGAAGTGCTTCTCAAAGGGACTGACAGGGGCAGAAACGGGAGAGAAGATTTGAATGTCACGTTGGGGGCAGAGGGAGGGGCTTGGAAAAGACCTGTGAAGACTTTGCACCTGCTTTGCCGGAACTTCATTTCCTGTGGCCACTTGGGAACCTCCTTCAGGTGGGTAAGCTCCTTCACATCAGTGCCAGAAACAAAACGGAGTCACTCTAGTCAAGCTGCTGAATTACTAAGATCAAGAAGGCTGAGGCATGAGCCTACTCTCATTTTAACTAACCTGGGGGACTTAAACTTTTGAATTTGCCAGTCCTGTGTCAATGCCTGAATATACACCAAACCTCTGATGTATATCAGAGGACTCATGTGTCTGGACCACCTGGCATCCATCATCCTGAGTCTGACCGATAACCTTCCTGGACCAATCCTAGGGCTAAGAGTGCAGGGTTGGTTATTTTCAAGAAGGCTCTTTTTACTAAAAGAACATTTAACTGCTCTTTCTTCTTTGGAACACTTCTGCAGTTTTGCCTGCCTGTGTTGCCCGTGGGCAAACTCAAAGGCCCTTGAATAAACCTTTATCACTTATTTCTAGCCAAAGCCTCCAGACCCTTTTTGAGTTTATGTGACACATGGTTGGAGCAGCTGCAAACACAATATCACTTCTCTATCCCAGGACCCAACTGAGATCATAGCCTACTTCTTTGATCTCACGCTGAGATACATTGGGGTTGACCCCCTAACTGCACACTGGTTCCAACCGAGGGCCTTGAAGGCACATTGAGCTTGTGAGTTCTGGGAAGTAGGTCAGACAATCAAGGAGGAGGTGGTGGAAAACAACCTCACTCATCCTCTCCTTAATTCTCATGACACCTATGAAGTGGGTGATAATGTTAGTCCCACCTTAAATGAGAAAGAGAGAGAACCTCACAGAATTTAACTGACTCAGCCAATATAGTTAGTAAGTGACAGGGCCAAAATATGGACCTAGTCTTTTGACCCTATACATTACTGCATACACCAAGGCTAGACTGAGGCAGGCAGGAGACTGAGCATCCTCTGCCCAGCTGCAGGACTCTGATGCTCTGTGAACCAAAGTCTCAGGTGGACAAGTTTCCCAGCCTGGGGGTCTACTTCCTTCAACCATCTCAGTTCTCTGGCCAAAGCCATCCCTGCACTCTGCAGGTTTAGCGCTGTGTGTGCTCTGGAGAGACGTTCCTGCCTGAAGAGCTGGAGTGGAGCTGAAGCTCTCCCTGGATTTTCCCTAACCGAATGGCCAGAGGATGACTTCATTGTGGTGTTTGGAGAATTCCTCCCTTCCGTGGGTGTTCAGACAGTCAGTCAGCCTTCAGCCTAGGGCTGTGACTTTGGTCCTTCCCCCAGCCCTGGGGGCAGGTCTAGGTTGTCTGTGCCATGAGAACCTTCTCTTCTGGTAGGTGAGGAGGGACGAGCCCGCAGGGACGTCTTCCTCCCATGGTTTATTTGTACATGGCTTCTCCCTGCTGTGGGTTTTCTGGTATTGGGTGAAGCTTAAGTTCTCACTAAAGCTCTTTCTGAACTCGAACATTTTATCAGGTTTTTCTCCCAGGCAGGTCCTCAGATACTAAAGGTTCCAGTTGCTATGGGTGAACACTTTCTCACAATCGATATACCTATACTTTCTCCTTTGAAGAAAAACTATACAAAAACTTGGAAATAAGGCAGACGGATCAGGGTTAGCTGATTCTTACAACACAGAGAATCACTCAAATGATAATTTTCTCAGTGCTCCCCCAGAAAGGACTCAGCTAGTACCACTCTAGACGCAGAAAAATGCTGATGGATTACAAAGAATGCCTTGGGCATTTGGGCTCCTTCCTCTTCTCAGAAACCCAGCTGCAAAATATCATTGGAGGGGCATAAATTTTTCTTTAACTTCTTACAGGCATACGGTTTCAATGAAATAAGATGAAGAAATTCTAGAGCTCTGCTGAACAATTATTGCACCTTTGGTCCACAATAATGCGCAATTAAAATCTGTTCAGAAGATAAATCTCATGTGTTCTCATGAATGTAAAATAGAACAGTCCCTTTTCTTTTCATCTTCCTTTAGTCTTCGGGTAGAGATGGGTAGGGATGAGAGACAAAGACAGGAATTAGATCCAAATAATTGTTCAGACACAAACACACAGAACCTTAAACTCACAATGTATTTGAAGACCCTGGAAGGCCAAGGAATACAGAAGTTCTCGGGGTAGACAGAAACAAGGAATGAGTCTTTACAGGTGTTTTAAATGGGCTAATTTCTTCTGTTCTAAGGAATTTTTGTATTACTCTGTCAAAGTTGTCATTGCAATACCATGCATATATTTTGTCAAAATTTTCAGACAACCCAGACATTTATAAAGTGAAAAGATATTCCAGATACAACTGCTGGTAACAGTTGTAAATGTCTTTTTTCCAGACCTCCTCTTTAATTTTTTATTTATTATTATTTTTAAAAATATATTTTTTATTGATTTCAGAGAGGAAGGAAGAAGGAGAGAGAGATAAAAACATCAACGATGAGAGGGAATCATTGATTGGCTACCTCCTGAACGCCCCTCACTGGGGGTCGAGCCCACAACTGGAGTATGTGCCCTTGACCGGAATTGAACCTGGGACCCCTCAGTCCATAGGCTGATGCTCTATCCACCGAGCCAAATCGGCGAGGGCTTTTTTTTTTTTTTTTTTTTTAATATTTATTTTTCTATTTCTCTCTTCCTCTCCCCTTCTCTCTGAAATCAATCAGACCTCCTCTTTATTTATAAAAATACAGAAATTTATACATCTTTCCCAAACACATAATTATTACTCTTCCATATTTCCTTTCTTAATTAAGTGTCAGAGCATTGTTCTATCTCATTCTTCCTGACAGCTGCATAGTATTCCACTGGATGGTTGTTACCACAATCTATTTCTTTGATCTCACACTGAGATACATTTGGGTTGACACCCCTCTTCCCCCAACCCCCTATCTGCACACCGGTCCCAAAAGGCTCCGTCTTGTCTGCCCACTTTTACACTTCTTACTCAGCAGCTTACCTGGGTTCCCTGCCATATTTCCGTCTTTGACCTTTGCCTCCAACTCTCTGCTGCCATCTCTTTGGACAAAACTCAGGTTTGGACTCTTTACTCAGCTGTGAATTTAGTCTTCTTCAGATCATAAGTTCCTTTTTTGAATTTTGTTTTGAGATATCTATATCTCTATATCTATATCTATATCTATATCTATATCTATATCTATATCTATATCTATATCTATATCTATATCTATATCTATATCTATATCTATATCTATATCTATATCTATATCTATCCTTATCTGTTATCTATCTATTTATATATAGAAAAAGGCAAAGGTAAACATTTATTCTAGCAAGATCTTCAACTGATTGCATTGAGGCCCATCCACATTTTTGAGGGCAATCTTCTTTATTCAATGTCCACTGATTTCTACATGTACACTTGGGTTGTCATAATGTAAACTTTTAGCCAATTATTTTAAAAAAGTTATTTTATTGATTTTTAACAGACAGGAAGAGAGAGGGACAGAGAGCTAGAAAATGGATGAGAGAGAAACATCAATCAGATGCCTCCTGCACACCCACTACTGGGGATGTGCCCACTACTGGTACATGCCTTTGATCGAAATCGAACCCAGGACCTTTCAGTCTGCAGGCCGATGTTCTATCCACTGAGCCAAACCGGTTTTGGCCTTTTAGCCAACTACTAATGTCTCATTATGGTCTTAATTTTTATTGCGTTGATTACTCATGAGATGGGACACCTTTTCATGCTTCTTGTCTATTTGTATTTTTTTTTGGTAGCGTTCTGATGAAACAAAATGCATCAGATTTTTGATGAAACAAAATTCCGTTTAGCTCCTCTGGGAAGCTGACTCCCCAGGACGCAGGGCTTGGCAAGAGCAGGCTGTGGGCCAAGTCCTGACTCTCTGGGCAGGTCAAAGGCCGTGGGGCCGGAGTGGCTCATCCCATTCCCGGAAGTGTGCTGGAGGAGCCAGGTGTCCTGAAGGACCCAGAATGCATAGGAATCCCAATCCTGGGTCCTTGGGGCTTCCTATTCCTAGGCTTCAGTCATTGGTAAAATGAATGGCTTTCATTTTTGCTTTATCTCACACACCCCTATACTATGTTCTTTCATATTTGTATTGGACTGAATTGTGTCCCCCCAAATTCATATGTTGAAGCCCTAAATCTGCAGCATGCGTGTATCTGGAGAGAGAGTTTTTAGGAGGTAATTAAGTTTAACTGAGGTCATAAGGATGGGGCCCTGACCCAATGGGACTTGGCTTCTATGAAGAGGAAGAGCGAGGCCCACAGATACACGCTCCTTATGAGGACACAAAGTGAAGAGGTCAAGGCCATCTGCAAGCTAGGAAGAGGGACCTCCCCAGAGTACTATGCTGGCACCCTGATCTCAGAGTTCCAGCCTCTACAACTCTAAGAAGATAACTTTCCATTATTTAAATCACCCAATCCATGGCATTTTGCTGTGGTGGCTCGAGCTGACTAATACAATATTGTTTAATGGACTTGTTTTGTTTTCTTGAATACACATATAGAAAAAGGAAACTTGACCTCTCTGTAAATGGAAAATCAGTAGCGCTCACTATTAATAGAATGAATCAGGGCTGACCAGACACAGGGTCTTAAGCCCAAGATACTTTTAGGGGTTTATGAAAATACTTGAATTAAAAAATTTAATAGAAGAAACAATAAATTTAATAATGAATCAGATATGGATTATATATTTTTTAAAAATACATTTTATTAATCTTTTTACAGAGAGGAAGGGAGAGGGATAGAGAGTTAGAAACTTCGATCAGCCGCCTTCTGCACAGCCTCTACTGAGGATGTGCCCGCAATCAAGGTACATGCCCTTGGCCGGAAATGAACCTGGGACCCTTCAGTCTGCAGGCCGACACTCCATCCACTGAACCAAACCAGTTTCAGCTAGTAAAATATAATTTAAAAGGAAATGTATTTTATAGTGAAAAATTTTCCTTCCCTTCTCATACACAGTCACCCAGTCACCCTCCCCAGGGAACATCACAATATCTTGTATCTTCCAGACATGCTGCAGGCATATGAAGGTGAATATTATATTAGTAGAGGCCGGATGCACAAAATTTGTGCTAGAGTAAACCTTCCTTCCCCTGGCTGCTGGCTCCAGCTTCCCTCTGGCACCTGGGACCTGGGCTTTGCTCTAACGGCCAGCAGGCACCTGGGACTCCTGGCTTTCCTCCAGCCAACGGGTTCGTTTGCAAGGACATCCAGTCTAACTAGCATATCACCCTTTTATTATTATAGATGATTACACAATCATTTATTGTCCAAATATCAATTCATTACTCCTTACACCCACTGTTAAGAGCCCCGTTTTACAGACGAAGAGATGGATAGGCTAGGTAATTTTTGCCCAAGTTTTTTCAGATAATAATAGTTGAGCTGGGATTGAATCCTGATTATTTGTATCTGGGAGTCATAATTTTCAAAGTTCCTCCACTTCTGTGCGCTTAGCTTCACTGTGGTCCTGGGAAGGAGGTGGGAGGTCCCACAGCCTGCCCAAAGCCATGCTGCACGGGGGTCCATGGGGATCTGGAATCCAGGTTCTCCTTGGGGCTGTTTCTGGCACACACACACACACACACACACACACACACACACACACACACACACACGGGTCTGCATTGTGCAAGGACGAGGCCATGCACGTGGGCCTCCCAGCCGTTTGGGCGGTTAGAGTCCATCCCAGGACGGGGAGGCTGGGTTAAATCCATAACTGAATCCAATTCACTCCAGAGTGGCAGGGTTTCTGGATGAGAAAGGAAGGAGAGCCGCAGAACTTTGGACAGACTTTGCTCCACGTTATGGAACTGCTTTCGGTCTCCTCTGGCATTGCGACCACACCTTTTCCTATTCTGTTCTCTCTTCTGGGAACACACTCATCCAAGCTCTTACTCTAGCGAACTCCCCCTGTGTTGCAACGCACTTGGGTTTTGATGTCTTCCAGGAAACCTTGGCCCTCTCTGAGGTTGCGTCAGGTGACCCCTACTCCAGGCTCCCACAGCACCAGGTGGCTCCCTAGATCCTCCTGCTTACCACTTTGCATTAAAAACGCAGGGGCCAGCTGAAACCGGTCTGGCTCAGTGGATAGAGCGTTGGACTGAAAGGTCCCAGGTTCGATTCCGGTCAAGGGTATATACCTGGGTTGCGGGCACATCCCCAGTAGGGGATGTGCGAGAGGCAGCTGGTCGATGTTTCTCTCTCATCGATGTTTCTAACTCTCTATCCTCTCTCTTCCTCTCTGTAAAAAATCATATATATATATATATATATATATATATATATATATATATATAATATATATATATTTAACACGCAGGGGCCACATTCTTTCCCTCAAGGGCAAGGTTCGTGCTGTTCCCTAAAAGTCAGGGCCAGACACTCAGTAGTAAATACATGTTAACTGAAATGAATGACCAGAGGTAGGGTGAAACACCCGTGTTCCCTCAACTCTACCTAGGTTAAGATAGTGACCAGCGTCCTATTCATTTCTGGCATGTAGAGGAAGCCGAGTTAAAGTTTATTGAATTGAATTAAACAATTAATCGTTCTGCAAATACATCGTACATCTGCGCAGAAAAGCAATTCGGTTCCAAGACACTTAGATTAAAAAAAACAAAACAAAACAAAAACCCGTGAGGTGGTGGGCACAGAACTCAAAATAGGGGCTCAAAGTATGTCCATTTCCTCCTCAGCTGGACTGAAAGCCGTGGTGGGGTAAGGAAAGTGGGTTCGATCCTCCCAAGGCGTCTCATTATTACCAGGGCGTTCTTCCCCATATGCTGCTTGGTGCCCAGGGACTGCTCTTCTACGGTGGCCTCAGCTGCAGGCTGGGGAATGGGTCCCTGCCTTTACGCTCCTGGCCCGTTGGAGGCACACAGTAGGCCCGCAGGTTGTAATAAAATCGGTGGCAAAAGAAGCGAGGTTCCTGAAGTCTGTCTTTGGGACGCTCCCAACAGGCACTTACTAAATATATAAATCTAATGGAGGACCCAAAGCAAGAGAGGGAATGGATCCAACAGCGCCCCCTTGTGGCGCTCTGGACCACGCCGTCACGGGGAGAAACGACCCTCGATTGCGCGCCATCGAAGGCTTAGACGGCACAAAGGATCCCAGCCGCCAGGGCAGGGGCCTCTGGAGGGCATGGAGTGCACGCTGTGCCGCACTCCTTTTTAGAAATGGGGCGAGGGGCCCAGAAAAGGGAAATGACATGTCCAGGGGGCTCCAAACATTCGCTAGTTGGGGGGGGGGGGGGAACTCAGGGCAGCGGTTTGAGGGTGGAGGCTGCCGAGCGAGCGGTCGGGAGCAGCGTTTGCAGAAACCAGCGATTGCAGAACCAAAGACTTGGGGCGACTATGTGTCTGGAGCGGCGGGGAGCTGGGGGGTCGGGGGCGCGGCGTCGGGCAGCGGAGGGGCGGACCCCAGCCCCGCGCCCCGGAGCGGCTCGCTGCCTGGTGCACGGCGCCCCCCAGTGGGACGCCCAGGTCTAGCCGCGCCGCGCGCTCCCGGGTCCGCCGCTCGCTCTCCCCGCCAAGCGCGCCAGTCCCTCCGCGCAGGACCCGGGCCGGTGGTCTCCTGCCCTCGGCGGCTTCCCGTTCGCGGCGGGGTCGGCGGCCAGCAGCTTCCCACGGCCCCTCCGCCGGCTCGCGGGCCGGCGCGCAGGGAGCGGCGGGGGCGGGGCTCCCGGAGGCGGGGTCCTCGGTGCGGGGCGAGCCCGGGCCGCCGGCTGTTCTCTGTCGCCGCCACCGACACCGGAGCCCGCGTTCGGACCGAGATGACGGCGTGCAAGCGGGTGGCGAAGGTGAGCGCACCGAGGGCACCCCTTTCTCACGGCTCCCTCCCCTCGCCGCCCCCGGTCCCTCTGCCCTCCGTCCCGTCCCTCCCGGACTTCTCCGCGCGCGCTTGTTTGTGCGGGTTCCGGGGCCGCTGAACCCCGTTATCTCCCCCCTTTCCCCCTCCAGGGGAAGCAGGGTGCGCGGGAGGGGTCGCAGCTGGAGTTTGGGGAGCGGAGGGGCGTTTGGGGGCGCTGTCTCCCTGAGCCGCAAGGAAGATGGGGATGAGCCGGCGCCCCGCAAACTGGTTTCAGTTTCTTTTCTCCGGCCAGAAACTTGCGATAACGGCTGCTGGAGTCTCGGGTGCTGAATGAAGGGTTGGTTCCAGGAGCCACGCGGAGTGGGGTGGGCTTGAACAGAGGAGATATAACCAGGACAAGGTCCTTGTCTTGGAATAAATAGCCCGGGCCCGCCTCCTATTTTGGTACCTACATCTCTAGAGATTGTGTGTGTGTGTGTGTGTGTGTGTGTGTGTGTGTGTGTGTGTGCGCGTGTTTGGGGGCGGTGGTGCTGAGTAGAAGTTGGGAACAAAGTTCCCTGGGTATTTTCAGGAGGAAAAGCTATCCAAAGGGACCTGGAAGGTGTCCTGGAGTAAGAGTGTGCATTCATTCGTTCTATAATACAAATATTGAGTACCTACTATGTGTGCTGGTTCCTGTGCAGAGATGAGCAAATATTCTGCCCTCACTCAGCGTTCTTTCCAGTCGGGGACACGATTTGAAATGAAGTCCAGAAGGATGGGGAACAGTCCCGGAAGGATTTCTCCCAGGAGGTGGAGAGATCCAGGGTGTTTACCGGATCCGGTGGAGCCAGGAGATGGAAGGGGAAGGAAGAGCAATCGTGGGGAAGTGAGTCTGACATCCCCCAGACTCTGACCTTCTCAGAAGTGCCCCTCTGCTGTGCAGAGTGGGGGGGGGGGGGCTTGAGGAGGGTGACAGAGGGCGCCTGCTTACCTTCAGCCTTTGAGAGGAAGGCGGTCCCGGATTGGGGCACTCGGAGCAGACACACAGCCCAGAACTGAAATCTCAGGGTTGGGCAGAGGGTCTTCCAGCCAGGTGGGAAAGAGCTAGGAGCTGCCTTTGGCATTGATCCCACTGGCACCGTTAGGTGCCAAGCAGTTTACACATTCGTCATTTCATGTAATTGTCATTTGCCCCCATTTTACAGATGAGGACATTGAGGCTCAGAATCACTTGGTTGTCAGGGTCATCCAGTAGGGAGTGAAGGGGCTGGGATTTGAGTCCAGGTGGATGGGGCTCCAACCTGCAGCTTCTTTCCGGGGGGCCTCTCTGCTTTCATTTTCTGTTCCTTTGAGTCAGGTCATTCCCTTACAGGCCTCAGGAAGGAGCTGTGCGTCCTTGTTTGGGTTTCCACATTCTTGAGCTTGGGGCAAGTTTTGGCAGAACTCACCTATAAGAGTGACCCCAGTTATAGTAAGCCAGGAAGTGTCTATCTCACAACTACTCTGTTCCACCTTGGCCTTCGTTGTTTCCAAAGAGTCACAGATTCTGTTGGAACTAGGACTTGGTGTAGCAGATGCTTCTTCTAGTTTGGGGTGAATGATAAATGAGGGTCAGATACTTTGGGCAGAAGTAGCTTGTTGGCATGAACAGAGATGGAGTATGGGCTGAACGTAGGAAATGGGGGACGGGTGTTTGTATATTGGGGGGCAGGTAAAGTTCAGGTGGCCCACCGTACTAAGGGACCCCTCCACGTGGGTGGCCTGTGAGGAGCTTTCTCTCTGCATTTGTTTACCCCAGAGTCTGTCTCTCAGCCTTGCCGCCGCTAACATTTTGGGCTAGATAATATTTTGTAGGATGTCTGTGAGCAGCCCTGGCCTCTGCCTGCTAAATGCCAGTAGCATCCCCCATTCTGTGTTCCAGAGCATATCACATGTCTTTTTAAAATATATATATATATTTTATTGATTTTCCACAGAGAGGAAGGGAGAGGAATAGAGAGTTAGAAACATTGATGAGAAAGAAACATCAATCAGCTGCCTCCTGCACGCGCCCTACTGAGAGATGTGCCCGCAACCAAGATACATGCCCTTTGACCAGAATAGAACCTGGGACCCTTCAGTCCACAGGCCAAAGCTCTATCCACTGAGCCTTACTGGTTAGGGCTTGAATGTCTTTTAATCTTTTAATTGTTTCCCCCACCAAAGGTCTGTTGTCCCACAGGATGAACCCTGAAAGGGAGAGGGCTCCTTGGTCCAATAAGTTTGAGAAATGCTGTATGTTGTGGGCTCACATCTTGGAGGTTCATGACTCACCGGAGCATATTGAAGACTAGGGAAGTCCTGCTGTAGAGAAATCTGTTTAGCTAGCGTCCCCCAGAGCACGTGACCGTGGTCACTGTTAACCTTGCAGGAGACACACATTTGCGCTGCCTGGGCCCTCTGCCTGGGTGCCTCTCCCCTGCTCTGCAGGGCGGGCTCCTTTACTGCCCCATGACCCAGCTCAGGGTCACCTTCTGCAGAGCCTGCCTGCTGTCCCCTCCTCTCCTTCCCCGCTATTGTCTATGTCATCACACCCCTGGTTCTTCCATTGCTCCAGGGAAGTTCCTGAGGACGGGGCCCTGTCTTAGTCAGGTGTTAGCAGAGCGTGCTCAGGGAGGGCTGCTGGGAGAACTCAGTGATGTGACTGGCAGGTGAGTCACTCCTGCCCCCTGTTGCTCTGGGTGGTGTGTAGAACGTCTGCTTTGCATGGTCTGAGCCATCTCCCTCCCTCACCCTGGGATGGTGGGGTCTGCTGGGCACAGGGTGATGTCTCTGCTGCTGGGGGCATGTAAGGACACACTGTCACGCTGGACACTAATGGATGGGTGCTAGGGAGGGCCAGAGGGGGGGAGGGTATAGGGCATTGTGACTCTCTAGGAAAAAGAGTAGAGCAGTGTTTCCCAAAGTGCGGTACGCGTACCCCCAGGGGTACGGGAAGAGTTTGGTGGGGGGTACGCATTGCACCGGAGTTCGGTGGGGATGTGCACTGCACCATGCTTAGCTGCGCCTAATTCTACGTTCTCATGAGTACGAGGGGTACTCAGCGTTACGAAAATTATAGAAGGGGTACACATATGTCAAAAGTTTGGGAAACACTGGACTCGAGGATGGAGGTGAAGGGCCTTGGCTTCAGGAGAAACGACTCCTAAGAGAGTTGACTCCCAGGTTCTAACATCTGGAGGCAGGGACCTTCATGTTCCCTTCACCCGGCACCTCCAGAGCTGTGTGAGACTAACACCCGCTGTCACGTCAAGTACTCAGCACCGGCTTGGCACATACTAAACGCTCAATACATGGGAGCTCTGACTTTGCCGGCTTCTGCCCCATTTGGGACTTAGGACAGCTTGTGCTGGGGTGGGGGGAAGCGGCTGAAGTAGGGGAGACTAAGCCGACTGTCCCCCTCCCCCCAGGAGCTGGAGGATCTGCAGAAGGACCTTCCCCACTACCTGCGGAACCTGTCCAGCGATGACGCAGATGTCCTGGTGTGGCATGTCCTCCTTCTGCCCGTGAGTGCCCCTGGGATCCCGGACCTGGGTTGGGGTGACTTAGGCCAGGGGCCTGGGCAGGGATGGTTAGGACTGGGCAAGAATTTTCCCTGTGTTGGGGTCCCTTTTTTTACTGCCTCTGCCATTGGGATCTCTCTCTGAATTTATTGTTTCTGAGGTTGAAGCAGATACCCTTTGTTTATCCATGTTGTCGCAAATGGTAAGATTTTATTCTTACAAACAAACAAACAAAAAATTAAAACAAAACAAAAAAGAAAAGAAACGGTTTCTTGGACCTTTGTCAGGGGCCAGAGATAAACTTCCTGTTTCCCACGGTTGATGGAGGGTAAAGAGTGGTTCCTCAAATTATGCCAACCTCAACGGTTCCCTGGATGTTCATTATATCAAGACTGTCAGTGACGCCGACATGTGCACAGGTGGCGAGAGAGAGCACCTGTCATCAGTGTCCTGAAGGGGTCGGGGGTGATGGACACAGAAATGAATCCGTTGAGCTGAGAAGACTTTCTTTAGGAGGCCCTTCTCCTACAGTGTTGGTGCTTAATTACATGGAGTCGTTTGGTTCAGTTTTCAGAGCTCACAGATAAGATGCAAAAGTCATTTAGCCTTCGGTGAGGCCTCATCTTTGGCCATGTCTCTGTTTCCTGGTCCCACCCCCTTCTTGTTATTCAAGAACATAAATGCTGAGACATTTTATGGGGCACACTAGTTGCCCCATCTCTTATTTCAGTCATATCCAAGACCACTGTGCCTTCTGTTTTGCCTTCTGCTAAGGCAGAGGAGTTCTCTTAAAACCCTGACTGTCATCCTGTATGTCTTTCTGTCTTTGTCCTGTCTCCTCAGCAGCAAAGGTTCTGAAAGGTCTGGAGCTTTGGCACCAGCCTGGACTGGGGTCACCGAAGTTCTGTCTCAGGGTGTGGCACAGTGTTCATGTGTGGAACAGCGTGGGTTCCCATCCCAGCCCTGCCACTGTGGGCCTGGGCAAGTTACTTACGTGCATTGAACTTGAGTTTCCTCATATGGAATTGGAGATGCTGATAGTCATGAGTTTTCATAATACTTATAACCGTTGACACCAATGTAGTGCTTGCCATGTGCCAGGCCCTGCTCTAAGTCCTTAGCAGAACTCACTTAATCCTCACAGAAGCCCTATGAAAAAGTGTATTATTATTCCCAAATGGAAGCACAGAGAAGTTAAGCTACTTACCTAAGGTCACACAGCTAGTGAGGATTCACACCCAGGCAGTGTGGCTCCAAAGCCCATGCAACCCCTACAGTCTGCTACACGACTTAATGTGTGCCAAGCCCTTAGCACAGGGCCGCACAGAGTAGGTGCTCAGGCAAGCCTTCAGGTTGCTCAAACTCTGGAGGATTTCCTACTGGGTCCCAACAGCTCCCATCGCTCCATCTCTCTAGCCACTGTGTTCTTTCTTTTCTTTTTCTTTTTCTTTTTAAAATATATTTTATTGATTTTTAAAAATATATATTTTATTGATTTTTTTACAGAGAGGAAAAGAGAGAGATAGAGAGCTAGAAACATCGATGAGAGAGAAACATCGATCAGCTGCCTGCTGCACACCCCCTACTGAGGATGTGCCCGCAACCAAGGTACATGGCCTTGACCGGAATCGAACCTGGGACCCCTCAGTCTGCAGGCCAACGCTCCATCCACTGAGCCAAACCGGTTTGGGCCTGTATTCTTTCTTTATTTTAAGTCACAATAAAATACACATAATAGTATTTACCGTCCTAAACATTGTTATTATGTTCACAGTTCCGTGGCACTGAGTCTATTCACATTCTTTCAGTCCGCAGACCGATGCTCTATCCCCTGAGCCAAACCCGGTTAGGGCTGAATTCCCTTCCTCTTTAAGGTTGAATAATATTCCATTGTATGTTCATGCCACATTTTGCTTAAGCATTGATTCATAGAGGGACAGTTGAGTTGTTTCCACGGTTTTCTATAATGAATAACGCAGCTGTGAATGCGGGTGTACAAATTCCTATTTGAGTCCTTGCTTTCCACTTCTTTTGAGTATATCGCCAGAAGTGGAATTGTTTGATTATATGGTAATTCTGTTTAAATTTTTGAGGAACCCCTGCACAGCTTTCCACAGTGGCTGCCCTATTTTACACCTCCAGTCCCTGAGTTCTTACGGTTTCCTCACTTTCTCCATTTCATCCCCCACAACCACGGTGTTCTCCTGTACTTGCTAACAGCTCCCAAACACAGGCTGTGTGTCTTTCTCTTCCGTAATTCTCAGGAAGCTTTAAACTGAGATGACCATTTGCAACAACATGGATGGACCTTGAAGGTAGATGGAGAAAGACAGATACCGTATGATCTCACATCAAAGAGGAATCTAAAAAAAATAAGTAAAAATAGCAAACCCCAAAACTCCCAAGAAAAAGAGATCAGGCCGAGACTGGTTTGGCTCAGTGGTAGAGCGTCAGTCTGCGGACTGAAAGGTCTCAGGTTCGATTCCGGTCAAGGGCATGTACATTGGTTGCGGGCACATCCCCGGTAGGGGGTGTGCAAGAGGCAGCTGGTCGATGTTTCTCTCTCATTGAAGTTTCTAGCTCTCTATCCCTCTCTCCTCCTCTCTGTAAAAAATCAATAAAATATATTAAAAAAAGAAGAAAAAAGAAAAAAAAAAGAGATCAGAGGGTGGAGGGCGGGAGGAAGGAAGGAAAGTGGTCAAAAGATGCAAATTTTCAGTTATAAGGTAAGTAAATGCTGGGGATGAGATATATAATGTGATGATTATATAACACCACTATAGGTCTATAGGAAGGTTGTTTTAAGAGAGTAGATCCCACCCTAGCTGGGTTGGCTCAGTGGATAGAGCATGGGCCTGTGGACTGAAGGGTCCCAGGTTCTATTCTGGTCAAGGGCACATGCCTAGGTTGTGGGACTTGCAGGAGGCAGCCCAGTCAATGATTCTCTCTCATAACTGATGTTTCTTTTTCTCCCTCTCCCTTCCTCTCTGAAATCAATTAAAAAAAAAAAAAAAATATATATATATATATATATATATATATATATATATATATATAAAAGAGTAGATCCCAATAGTTCTCATCACAAGGAGAAACATTTTTTTATTTTCTCTTTTCTTGTCTCTGAGAAGATAAGCGTTAGCTGGTACTGTTATGGTAATTATTTCACAATGCATGCAAACCTAATCTTCAGGCTATACACCTCAGACTTAGATAATGGTGTGTGCCAATTATTTCTCAATAAATCTGGGGAAAGGTTAATTATCTGTACAAAAAAAAAAAAAGATGAGATGGTGCTTAGAGCTTATTTAGACAAACTTTACCCACTTTTCAAATGAGGAAACTGAGGCCTGGAGATGGGAGGGTCACCCAGCAAAAGCCAGAATCCGGCTTGGGACCCTGCCCCTCCCCCTCAGAATTCTTTAGTGATTCCACTCTTCACTAACCCGTGGCTCAGTTGCCAAATGAATGCAGGTGCCACCTGTCTCCATTCATGATTCTTTTTTTCTTTTTAAAAAAATATATATTTTATTGATTTTTCACAGAGAGAAAGGGAGAGGAATAGAAACATCTATGAGAGAGATACTTCGACCAGCTGCCTCCTGCACACCCCCGACTGGGGATGTACCCGCAACCAATGTACCCTTGACCGGAATCGAACCTGAGACCCCTCAGTCGACAAACTGACGCTCTGTCCACTGAGCCAAACCGGTCTCGGCTCATGATTCTTTTCAGGAGTGGAGTAGAGGCTGCCTTGGACCCTGGGGGGGGGGGGAGTGGCAGGGAAGGGGAAATGGGACCAGGGCCCGAGGAGGAGAGTGATCTCGGAGCAGCCCTGCCTCTGAACAGAGCTTCACCCCTTTTCTCATACAGGAGAGGTCGCCCTACAACCTCAGGGCCTTCAACGTGCGCATCAGCTTCCCCGAGGACTATCCGATGAGTCCCCCCATGGTGACATTCACAACCAAGATCTACCACCCCAGCGTGGGCGATGATGGACAGGTCTGCCTACCCATCATCAGCCACCAGAACTGGAATCCTTCTACCAAGGCCTACCAAGGTGGGCGGGGCTCTGCCTCCAGGGAGGGGCCCGCGCTGGAGCAGGGTTCTGGGCTGATTTTGAGTTAGAGAAACCCAAAAGAGAAGAGAGAAAAGTTGTGGGTCTCCGTGGAGTCTGTTGTTGGATAGAAGGGACGCGTCCTGAGATACCTGCTCCTGTTCTTGCAGGTGGGCAGGTGGGACAACAACATGTCTGTGGGTCCCGGGAGAGAAGCAGCTGAGCTCTAGAGGGACGGGCTGGAGATAGGAAGGCCGCTGCTCTCTTATCTGTGGACCTCGGTGAAGTCTCCACTCCTTTCCAAGGCCCAGTGTCCTGAAGGACAGTTGAAGGGGTTGGCCCCGGAATGACGATCCACATCACTTGACTAAGCACTTGGGGCACCAGGCGGAGAGCTTCATGCATAATCCCATTGAATCTCCTCCTGAGCAACTCCATACGACAGTGCTCTCCTTAGCCCCATGTAGCAGATGAGCACAATGGCGGCAACCTAGAAGTGAGGCACTTGCCTAAGGCCGTTCAGATGGCTCGGCGCCATCCAGCAGGCCTTTCTGCAGTATGGGAGTGTCCGGTTCCACAGTCAGTGGCCACCGGGTGGCTTTGAGCACTGGAAATGTGGCCCATGGGCCAAGGAACGGGGTTCCTAGTTACAGTTCATTTCAATTCATTGAAAACGCGGTAAGCACAGGTGGCTATTGGCTCACGTCGATGTGCGATCTGTCATCCTGCCTCTGGACGGTCTGGGAGGGTCCTGGGGCGGGGGCGGGTGTGGAGTGCTCCTTGGATGACCTTCAGGGACCCGTGAAGCACCCAGACCTCAGAGCTGCCTGTGTGTGCGCGTGTGCACATGCCCGGGGAGACTGGCCCCTGCCTTCCCCAGGTTCCCAAAGGCACCTGTGCCAGGTCAGCCGCCGGGCAGCAGTGGTTCTCAGTCTTCAGCCTCAGAACCCTTTTCCCCAAATAAAAGCTCATTTGGAATCCTAGTATCAAACCGAGGGAAACGAAGTGGCTCTTGTTGAAAAGGGAGAGTGGGACCCAGACACTCCGCGGATCTCCTCACGGAACACAGTTTAGAAACCGCTGATGGAAGCCCATCCGAGCTTTCGGCGGCGTCAGCTGGGGACGTGAGGGGCGTTCGGTTTGGTTAGGGGGTCATTCTGAGAGGTTGGACCTTCTTGGGGGTCCCCCAGGGAGTGAGCATGGAGTTCCAGGGGAGCCTTGGAGTGGGCAGCCATTGGACCCTTCCCAGGATTTCTCTCTCCGTCCTCATGTCCTGCTCTGGCCCCTCTCCCCAGCCTTGAAGGCCCTCAACGAGCTGGTGAATGAGCCGAACCTGGCGGAGCCCCTGCGCCTGGAGCTCGCCGACCTGCTGACGCTGAACTCGGAGAAGTTTTACAGTGACGCTGAGAAGTTCACCCTCCAGTTTGGAGTACCCCGGCCCACCTAGCTCCGGTCCTGGCCCTCTGCACCAGGTCCTGTCCATGCATCGGACAGACGCACCGCAGGGACTGGGGCCGGAGCCTCTTGGTGGCCCACGTCCTGCTCAGTTTTTCTGCGTTTTTCCTTTCTCAGGTTGTTAGTTGTTAGTTGTGTGTGTGGTACGTGTGGACCACAGGTGTGCTTTCCATTCCCTTCCTGTCCCCCAGAGCCAGGCAGTTTAGGTTTGCAGAGTCACAGGCCTGCAAGTGGCTCCATCTTAGAGATCCCTCTTCCAGGCCGGGCAATGAGCCCGGCAGCCAACCAGAAAACCCCTGGGACCCAGGCTTCTGGGGAAGTGGGGGCGGGAGGCGGGCACATGGAAGGGAGTCCCTTGCAATTGGGTGGTTTGTTGATTACATTATCAGTCGGGCTGTGTAGATTTAAGTGCTAAACCTCTTTTCCACCGATGAATCACTTAAGGGAAGAATCTCATCCTTGTCCCAGAAATCTGACTACACAGTTTCCAAACCACTTGCAGTCCCATTAGGTTGGGGGCCAGGCTTCAGGCTGGGAGGCGTGGCCCCTTCAGCTTCCAGTCAAGGGGGAATCACAGGAACCATGTGTTTTTCCAGCCATTAAAGTCTCAGATGACTTGTGGATTCTGGCTCCGTGTTCTTTTGAGGGGATGGGGCGGTTTCACCAGGAGAAGAGGCTGGGGAGTTAGCTGCTGTCGGGTCCATGAACTGATGGCCCTATGCCGGGAGTAACCCCAAATATTATGGGGCCACGAGGGGCTAGGCCCTCCTGGCCAGAGGGCCATCAACACCGTCACAGGGGTAATGTCCTCATTTCATAGATGAGGCGGCAGCCGCTCAGGGCACAGAGTGGGATGCCAGGTCACCTCCTGTCTCGGTGCCAAGTTGGCTGGGTTTTGTCTCGGTGTTTTCCATGGGCTGTTATCAGCAAGCATTCCCCGTGGCTGATAAAGCCAGACAGGGCTGTTAGCAGGACATTGTCATCCGCTCAGCCGTTCCTCTCTAATGAGCAATGGAAAAACAAAAACAAGCCACAACTTCTGCCGGAGTTGGAGTTGGAGGGATTAACTAACCGGAAAGAAGACCCCTCTGGGTGTGATCATTCTGAGTTACAGGAAACCCATCTGCTTTTTTTTTTTTTTTAAATATGGAATGCTTCACGAATTTGCGTATCATCTTTGCGCAGGGGCCATGCTAATCTCTGTATCATTCCAATTTTAGTATATGTCCTGCTGAAGTGAGCACCCATTTGCTTTTAAGAGACAGAAATGTGGGGAACCTCCTTTTTTTATTAGTATTTTTTATTGATTTTTTTACAGAGAGAAAGGGAGAGGGATAGAGAGCCAGAAACATCGAAAAGAGAGAATCATCAATCAGCTGCCTCCTGCACACCCCCCAACCGGGCATGTGCCCGTAACCAAGGTACATACCCTTGACGAGAATCGAACCTGGGACCTTCCAGTCCGCAGGCTGACGCTCTATCCACTGAGCCAAACAGGTTTCGGTGATGTGGGGTATCTTTGAGGCAAGGGCTTCATTGTAGGCCCCACTAGCCTACTTTGGGTGTGATTTCTAGAGCATCCATTCCAGCCCTGCCCTGGAATTCTCTAACCCGGGAGAAGCGTGGAGAGCGGGAAGAGACAGGAAAAGTGCCAACGCTGGCCGAAAATATAAGGCTTGTTTTTACTCTTGGCCACTACTTACTGAGTGTGTATGTGACAGGCACCAGGCTAGGCTTTTGCCCATTTAAGTACTTCCTTTAATCCTTACAACGCCTCCCTGAGGTTTGAACTTCTTTTATCCACAACCAGATGGTGAAGAGGTTCAGAGGAGTTAGCTCATTGGCCCAAGGTCACACGGTTGGTTGGTGGTGGTGGAACCCAGGCCATCGTCCTTTCCCAAATGCCTTTCATGCCGGTAGAAAAGATTGTGTCAGCCCTGGCTGGTGTGGCTCGGTGGGTTGGGCATCATCCTACGTACCAAAAGGTTGCTGGTTTGATTCCTAGTCGGTACATGTCTGGTTTGCAGGCTTGATCCCCCGAATGGGCATACAGGAGGCAGCCAATTGATATATTTCACTCTCACATTGCTGTTCCTCCCTCCCCTCTCCCTTTCCTCTCCAAAAGTCAATTTAAAATATATTTTATTGATTTTTTACAGAGAGGGATAGAGAGTTAGAAACATCGATGAGAGAGAATCATCGATCAGCTGCCTCTTGCACTACCCCTACTGGGGATGTGCCCGCAACCAAGGTAACATGCCCTTGACCGGAATCGAACCTGGGACCTTTCAGTCCGCAGGCTGACGCTCTATCCACTGAGCCAAACTGGTTTCAGCTCTCCAAAAGTCAATTTAAAAAATCTCTGAAAAAAGAGAGAAGATTGTGTCGGGTGAGGAAATAAATGTCAGCTGAGGAATCCTGGCAGCCAGGGTTAATTGTCCCAGAGAGGGACAGGTTCCCAGCTGGGATAGGGAGGGAGCACTGAGGGCCAGACAGGATTTTACAAAAGTACCTTTAATTCGTTAAGACTGGTACCGCCTGCCTTTGCCCAAGCCCCGGCCGGCTCTCTTGTCTTTGGAGCAGAAGGCAGTCCTGGGCCGTGGCTGGGCAGCTGGGCACCCTGCCCACAGGGTCGGTCGGCTCCTCATTTCTTCTTGGTCTTCACCAGGCCCTTTTGCACGAGGCAGCGGTACAGCTCCTGGATGTAGGTGTAGACGCACTTGGAGTCAGGCACTGCCAAGCGCACCATGTCATCCACCTCCAGCAGCTGGGCACAGTCGGCCAGTTTCCTGAGAGGCAGAGGAGGGGTGGGGTGAGGACCAGAGCCAAGGTGAAGAACATGAGAGCCAGGGAAAGGGGTGGGGGCAGCCCAGCACGGATGGATTGTGTGTTGGAGATGGGAGTCATCTAGGCCAGCTATCCCGGTGCACAGGTGAGCAAGCTGGGGCCCGGATGGAGTCAAAACTGACACTCAGCCTGGTCTGATTCCAGAGCCCACCGTCTTCATTGCACTGTGGCCTCATGTGGGACGGGACCCCCCGGTCTCCAGGTCTGCATTACCCCGCCCCTCTCACACACTCCTGTATCTGTCCTCCGGAAGGCAAGCTCCTCTGGAAGAGTTTAAAGGACAGAACCCCAGCCGAAACCGGTTTGGCTCAGTGGATAGAGCGTCAGCCTGCGGACTGAAAGGTCCCGGGTTTGATTCCGGTCAAGGACATGTACCTTGGTTGCTGGCACATCCCCAGAAGGTTTCGGCCAGTCCTCTTTTTCTGTCTTTTTCTGTCTCCCCAGCTGCCCTGTGTGGCTTTGCGAAGGCTGATAATCTGAGCTAACCACGGTCGGGGCCTTGCGCCCATGGGCCAGGTGCTTTATCAAGCGCTTCCCCTTGAACCGTCTCATTCACACCTCCCCTCCGTCCTCAGCCCGCAGAGGAGGGGCTGGACACGCGGAGCAGTTTGATCATTTGCCCAAGGTTGAAGGGAGTGATACGGCTGGGACTCGGCCCCAGGCTGGCCTGACGCCTCTGGCATCCCTGCCCTGAGGCCAGGCCTCCGCAGCCGCAGCCTGCCTAGCCACGTGGGTGCTGGCAGTAGGAGAAACCAGGGTCCCAGCAGAAATCCTCCCTTGGGGCTGAGACAGCTGGGCCGAAACCCAAGCCGGACTGGCCTGGGTGCCGGGGGAAGAGCGCAGACGGGAGGATTTCGAAGAATGGGACCAGCTCCCTGCAACCATGCAGCGACCTCGGGTTCTGGGTGTGGGTCTCCCTGCACAGGAGCCGAGGGCCAGGCTCCTCCAGCAGCACAGCTGGAAGTCCTCCCCGCGGTCAGGACTTCACAGGAATCAGAGGGGGGTTCTACAGGGTGGTAAGGTGCCATGGCCCCGGCAGGGGCCAACTTAGTTGGCACATTTAATCTTCACTCGAACCCATAAGGGTGGTGAAGTCAGCTGCCGAGGGTGATAGAGCTAAGGGGGCAGGATTCACACTCGGCACCTCAACCTCTATTCCCCACCCTCCATTCCCATGGTCTCTGCCTCATCCTCCCCTTCACCCTGCTGTCGGATACCTCCTGTCAGCCCATCATCATTACCCAGCCTTCCTTCTGCCTTCCTGTGGCTCTGCCTGGCGTGGAACCAAGGCGAGGCAGCTGCCAGAGGAGGGCAATGCCTCGTGCCCCACAGGCCAGGGACCCCTGGCCAGGGCGGAGCTGTGCACCCTTCTTTAAAAAAAAATATACATATATATATATGTGTGTGTGTGTGTGTATATATATATATATATATATATATATATATATATATATAAAATTGATTTTTCACAGAGAGGAAGGGAGAGGGTCAGAGAGGCAGAAACATCAATGAGAGAGAAACATAGATCAGCTGCCTCTTGCACACCCCCTACTGGTGTGTGCACACCCCGCAACCAAGGTACATGCCCTTGACTGGAATCGAACCCGGGACCTTTCAGTCCGCAGGCCGATGCTCTATCCACTGAGCCAAACCGGTTTTGGCTGCGCGAAACTTCTGAGGCTCACGTGGAGCTCTCAGTCCTGACTAGGAGTTCACTTTCCAATCTCAGTTCTGCCTCAGCCCTCCTGCCCCACCCTGGGATGTCACGAAACATCTCCACCTCTACTAGCACACTCTGGGATGTACACTCCGGGATGCTGTGAGGCGTGAACGGGATAAGCCCAGGGAAGCACTTAGCAGCCCGCCTGGCAGACAGCCCCTCTCAATCCATGTGCCTTGTCATCGTCCTTAAAGGTGTTTCTGAGCCGCTGAGCCCCCCACCCAGGCACACATCCCTTCCCTCGGCGGGATAATGTGGAACTGGAAGGAACCTTCCGGACCATCAAGGGGTGGTCCTCAGTGGCACTCCAGGTGCCCTAGGGCCCATGGACATGCTTCAGGGATCCTCTTGGGAAAGGAGGTTGGGCATGAAGCTCCAGGAATCCTCCGACCTAAAAAGATTCTCCTTTAATTTGTTTTTCATGT